ACGGTGACAGTTCATGCTCAAATGACCCCCAATTGTATTAGTATGACACCTCTCCTTAAATGCCTGCAGTTGATCTCAAAACCATCCATGCAGGACACTGCTGAGCATCTCTGTTACTTTCAAAGATTTGTAACTCCTAGCTTCTGTCTCCTGTATCTTTTTAGACATCAAGCAATGGTGTTCATTGCAAATACAAGGATCACCCCTATTTGTTACTTCAGAAAACAGTACTTGGTATCATTTCCCATCTTGCATTTCTTTTTCCAGTGAGACATCCACTTTGTGTAGTGGTTGATTTTTCGTTACTGAACGCACAGTGTCACAGTGGTGTTGTAAACATGCACCTCTAATTCACGCTGTTGAAATTTTTAAGTTTTTTGACTAACCAGTTTCAAATAAAAAGTCTCAGAAAATTCATCAGCTATGTTACAAAAAGGGCTCATAAGCCTTTTATAACCTGGTAAACAAAATCTATTTCCTGGATTTATTGTGTAGGTAAAACTGAATGTTTTTGTCTGCTTTCAGTGGTGCTATAACTTGATTAGCAAATACTTTATTAACAGTTCATTTTAAAATATTTTCACAGTATTCTTTTCCCCTGTAACTAAAACCATGTTTGTTGTCATAAAAGGGTTAAAATCCACTCTGAGTATTTACATTTCTTACATTCAAAAGTATATTTTTCTGATGCTTCTTTGAAGAAAATTGAATGTAGTTTGCTATAGAAAAACGAACCCTCCCAACTAATTGTTAATTGCTCAGAATATTGCAAAACTTAATGATACGTGGAAGACTTTAAGTATTAGCCATAAATCATGGGATTATGAATAAGTCTTTTTTGTCACAGGCTTGCTTACAGTCATTCCAAAACGTCTGCCATTAGGATGCAGCAAGGCAGCTGTCAGCTGTTTTCTTGTAATTAAACAGCCAATGAGCAGCTAATTAAGACATATGTGTATACAGAAATGGAAGTGGGTATTTTAATGAACTGTAGGAATCAATTCATTAAATGAAAATTTGTCAAAAGACCAAACATGAGATCAGCATTTCAACCCATGCTGCACTGGAGAGGGAGTCTGTGTGGTGAAATTTGTGACATCAGAGAATCACAACAGGATTTTTCCCCTTGGAAGCAGGAAGCTTAGACACAGACGTCTGTAGTACAGAGCCATTGAACAGTAAAGCGACTGGAACTATTAATAGACTGTGAAAACTGCTATTTACATTTCAAAGTTCTTTTTTAACAAGTTGTTATTCAAACTGACTTGCAGATGAAAAGTTCTTGCGCCCTTTTTTTCCAAACTTGATTTTTTGGCAGCATATGAAAAACCATATATTGTTTTGTATATAAATAGGAGTCTGAAAGGTAGAGATGGCTTGTAATCTGCTCTTCACTTCTTCTGGCACTGTGTTAATACAGCAACATAAAAAGGGAGATGGGCAAAGCTCAATGACGCCTCATCAAAATCAGCTGCCTCTTCATCCTGACATCAGAAGGCGGCAGGGCTCCACACACTCACAAACACACTGATACCAGGGACCTTGGCTCAAGCCATGCCATCAGTCAGAGAGCAGTGTAACATGGTGACATCTTTTAGTGCAGGAACAGTTTTGTTGGTCTGTTTGATCAAGAGGGGTCCAATATGCCTGTGGCCCATTATGCAATTGGATGAATGTCAAATGATGGTTGTTCTGAACATGCATGCAATTAAGAGTATGTGGCTCTGGCTGGTTTGCATAATGATTGAATGTATGCACGTGTACCACACATGCATACACCTCCTCCTTCCTGATGGAAAAATTACAGCTAGCTCTGTGCCTCTGGCAAAGGGGAAAAAATAGCACAACAACACAGTACAGTGTCTCTCCTTCACCTAATAGAAGAAAAAAAAGCAACTAGTAGGGAAACCGTATTTACTCACTAAAGGCACCTGTAAGAAGGGGCTTCACCACGTATTTTCAGAATGATGTGAGATACCAAGGACCACCAAAAGGTAGAAAAATCACAGGTAAATGTCAACAACATCGAAATTTTTTTGTGATTAAAAGCCTTCATTTGAATGCAGTTTAACCTTATTGTTACTGCCATCCCAAATCTCAAAATATTTCTGAGCTCTAGAAGAGTTCAGATTCACTTCTGAGATTTGAGGCAAGCTTTTTCTGCTTTAGGTAGTACTGATGTTTTCAGCATGCCCACTAATACTGCATGGTTTGTCTTCAAAAGCACTTACCTACATCTCTGATTTGTGAAATGGAAGAGTTTTTAAAGGCCCCAGTTTCAGGCAGCTCTGCTCTACTGAAAACTCAGCTTCGAGCTGTAACTTCGCTGATACATTGTACACTAAAATGTATTGAGCAGCTATGTCCTTAGGGAAAACCTGGAAGAAGCAAAAAGCTCAGTATTTTCTCCATTATGATACTAAAAATAATCCTGTTTGACAGGAATATTCTTAATAGAGAGAAATAGGCCTAATTGGCAATACAGACACAGTACAGGTCCCAGTAAAAAGAAAATGGAGGGATAGTTGAGGCTATTGGGCCAGTTTCAGCTTAGATATTGATAAAGCTGGCTTACAGGATCTCAGCAGTGGCAGACGATGTAATGCAGTCATTCATCAATGAGCACGTCATTCAGGGCAACTGGTGAAGTGTTGAGAGAACTGAGTATCGTAAGGGACTGATAATGCAGAGATGCAGAACCTTGATCAGTAAATCATTGCTCATGCTGATACTTAATCCTGTTTTTCCAGTGAATTGCATTGTCCTTGCATGCACTGGAGTGACAGGCTCCACAAAAGATGTGAACAGAACTGCAAATTAAGCTGTCTACTTATCTAAGACCTGGTTCCTCCAGAGGGATCAATCATGTTGGAATGATACCTAGAAATTTCCTTGGTATTTTAGGTTTTCTTTAAGAAATGCACTGAGAGCTCAGTATGTGCACTGCTCTCAGTCTAAGTGACTTACCACCTCTCTATTGACAAACATTAGTTGAAGATCAGATAGAAACCAAGACCTTTTTTGATACTTCACCTTTGACCATTAAAGCTTAACCGATGAAGATTTTTTTCCCTCCTCAAAATATGGAGCATATGGCTTTAACTCAGCATTTTGTCATTCTCCTGTCTGCAGGAAATTTGCTAGGTAGTCTCTTACTTGTCATGCAGAAGTCCTTCTTGTTTATTTCACCAAGTGTCTGGACAGAGTGTGCATGTGCTGAGGGACTCCAGAATACGGTCTTTAAATAAACAGAAGATTGGTAAAAGTCCAACTTTAATTAAAGGGTGCCCAGCCTTTCTGAGGAGGTATTTTCTTTGCAGCAGTGTTAATTAATCCATTATGTGGCAACATAAAACTAAAACACCGTGCTCACTGATCTCAGATGCCTCTTTAGAATGACTACACCTTCCCAGAATCCTTGTGAAGTAGGTATTACACACACCAGCTTATGTTTGGGCAGTCTGTGGCAGAAAGATGAAATAAACTTCAAAACAAGCAGCTGGCATAGTGATTAATAATGTGCACATTCTGGTGGAGAGAACTAAGTTGTATCTACTGCTCAGCCTTCCAGCGTTAATTTTTCTTTGGGGAAGGGTTTTCCATTCTAGTTGACTCAAAAGGAAAACAAGTACATAGAACTTGTTTCAGCTTCCCCCTTATCCTCTTACAAATCTAAACCCTGCCCTGAGTTGCATGAAAACTCAGTTGTCAGCATTGAACTATTAAAAATATATATATATTATTCTTTATAGAGGGAACTGTTCAGTATCATGTGTATTTTTCAGCTCGTACATGCACTGGTGAGACTGAACATCAGAGCCTGCTGCTGTCATCTCCAAGAGCAGAAAAGTGTATCAGGTTGAACTAACTAGCTGTTGAATCCTTCTTGTTTTGGATATCCACGCTGACCAAGAAATGATAAGGAAACCTAGGTTTATAATTATCTTGTTTGGAAATAATCAGTGTGCCGTACATCACATAGAGTCTGTAAAAATCAGCGAAGAAATGTGCAATTCCTTTATATGCCATAACATCATTTTATTGTTTCCTACTCTTTACTGGTTTTTGTTTGTTTCCAGGGGAAAAAAAACCTCTTAACTTCCTTTAGTGACTATAGTGCACTTGAATTTCATTTCCAGTTAGGTATGCTACCTCTCAGAGTTTTTATTCGCTCCATTAGTTAACAGCTTCTTGACTTGTACTTTGCAATGCAATCACAGGGCTTTTTCAGAAGGAGTCAGCAAAGCAATGCTACGTACTCCTGTCCTCGTCAGAAGAACTGTTTGATTGACCGAACCAGTAGAAACCGCTGCCAACACTGTCGATTACAGAAATGCCTTGCTGTGGGGATGTCTCGAGATGGTAAGCTCTGCTAAATCCCAGTTTAAATGCAAAAAGAAAAAGTAAAACAATACTGAGTATACTGTGTATTCACCTGAAATAACAAAGGATTTAAAAGTTACTGTGCATCAAGCTGATTGTTGAGATCAGAGTGGTTTTTGTGTTGAATATTTAGATAAATACATATAAATTAGGGGATGTATGAAGTTCCTGTTGGTTGGTTTTCTGCTCCTCTGTTGTAGTTCACAGCTGAGTGCTTTGTCTTTGGTCACTGGAAGATGCAGTTTCTATTCTGATGTTAATACTTCCTTTCTGTATTCCTTCCAATTTGTGACATCCTGTAGCTGCAAGTAACATCGCTATATTGATAGGGACCGGAACTGTTTAGCAGTTTACACAGAAGTTAAATGTGTATGAAATGAATAATGGAAAAAATACAAAGAGAAAATAAGTGTTTTTTCAAGCCCATGCTGTGGTTTGCTTTTTTGTCAATGATAGATTTCTGAAGAAAGTGTGTTCCAGTGCTATTAATATTGAACTCAAAGTTATGCCTAGTCTAATGACAAAATCCACCTATCAGTAAAATGGAAGCGTATAGAACTCTTATTAGAACTGGATTTGCAGCTGATATCAGATGTAATGAAGTTGCCATCACTTACCCAATTTGAAGGTTGAATTCAAGTGTTCTTGCCTGTATTTGACAGCAGTGTTGCATGTTGTATGCATACCTGAGGCATGAAGAAGGAGATAAGTTTTCAGGTTACATTTACTTCTTAAATTACATGGTCTTATTTTTTTATTGGGCATGAAACTAAAAACCTGAAACGGTACTGACTAGTACTAGTAATGACTAGTTCCTGGAGTATATTTGCTTTTCTGTAAAATAATATAAGGTGCAAGCCATCTTCTTAAACCATGAGGCTTTTACAGCTGACACTGGTCCCAGAAATCATGTAATGTATTCTTAGGAACTCTTAGAAATTATGAATATGCAGCTGGTAGTAATTGAACAGTTCATCTCTCCTCTTTCCTAGGTGGGATTTGAATGCACAAGATATGCACAGTCAATACAGTGGATATAAAAGAAAATCTTTTAGGCACAGAAGTGGAAAGCTAATGAATTAAGCTAAAATAGTAACTTCAAAAGGTCGTCTTCAGTAGCATGCTAAGTACATGGAAAGAGTACGTGATGCTGCTATGTTACCTGTAATTGACAGGAATGATTCTTAGGTCTACCCATTTTGCTGATTTACATTTTATATTCTGCCCTTCAGTGTAGTATTAAAGACCCAAAACAAACAAAATTCACTACTGGAGTAATAGAAATGAAACGTTTTGTTTTTGCATTTCAGCTGTGAAGTTTGGTCGAATGTCAAAAAAGCAGAGGGACAGCCTGTATGCGGAGGTGCAGAAACATCGAATGCAGCAGCAGCAGCGAGATCATCAGCAGCAGCCAGGAGAGGCAGAACCACTAACACCAACGTACAATATCACCACCAATGGGTTAACAGAGCTACACGACGACCTCAGTAATTACATTGATGGGCATACCCCTGAAGGTAGCAAAGCAGACTCTGCAGTTAGCAGCTTCTACTTAGACATACAACCTTCTCCAGATCAGTCGGGTCTTGATATTAATGGAATCAAACCAGAACCAATATGTGACTACACACCAGCATCGGGCTTCTTCCCTTATTGTTCTTTTACAAATGGGGAGACCTCTCCAACTGTGTCCATGGCAGAATTAGGTAATGAGAGAGAAAAACTTCCATTGTAATTGTCTTGATAGTACCCCTTGGATTAAACTGACACATTTAGACAGGTGATAGCGAGAATGCTGCTTCAAAACAGCTGTGAGCATGTATGGGCATTCTTCTGTGAAGTGCACAATACCCTAATTAATTGTGGTACGTGGTTGAACACATTACAGAAGTGGACTAAAAGTCACATAAGCTTGTACTAGATCAGGTCTAGTAGCGTTGCTTTTGTTTTCAGTTCATATAATAGAATGTTCTGAATACTTATTAACAAGATAATCTGTTATGCTGAGGAAATGGAATATTTCTTTATTTATGATTTTTTTTTTTAACATTTAATCTTTTTTTATTAGCTTAATTCTCTGTTTCCTAACAAAAAGTTACGTGGACTATCTTTTTCTGCTCTTTATCTGTACCTGGGGAATGTGGAACCAAAACATCGGTCTAATCGGAGGGCAGTTCGCCTTTCCAGTGGCTGAAGAGAATCTAGCTCCAGACTTGAGAAAAAATTTCCATGTAGCATGTTTTGACAGCTTCCCTAAGATCCATATAATGACCACATTAATTAGCACATTTTTCTTTAAACCTTTCCCTCAGTGATTATAGGAAGGCTGAATTCCATTACGAGGACTTGTTAGCATCCGGGTCTTAAGTTAGAGAGCACTGTGTTGAGTGGTCATAAGCAAATTGAAACAGGACGTAAGAGAAATGGCTTTAAGATTCTAGTATATATATAAGCAATCAGGAGTTTAAAACATTTATTTTGCTTAAATGACATTTTTGGCTACATATTTCATTATTAAAACAACCTAAAAATTGAAAAATTGTCTATTTCAAGATAAAGTTTGTCTCTTTTGTTGTTGGTTTTAACTAGAGGCAGGTATTTGATGAGAAATTCTGCTTTAGTTTATGTTCTTTTTGAGAATTTTTGCAGAGAGGAAGGGACAAGATTTTTCATGTCCTTATGTTGCAGAATGCAGTTCTCTGCAATAGTATATGTTGTGACAGCCAAAAACATTGCATCTCACTTGAGTTCAAATACCTTCAGTAACAGATGAAGTAAAACCAAAAAGAAAAAAAATAAGATAAAAGCTACGCTTACAGTTTTGTCTCAATAAGTGATTGTTAATATTCTCATGGGAATTACTAAAAGATGAACATTAATAGTACAGAAAAAAAGAGAAGGCTTCTCCTTCTTAGGCCAGGTATTCAGTCTGGAGCACTAGTGTAAGATAAGTTTGTCATATTCCTTACCCTTATTTACACAGTGCTTGCATTTAAACCCTATGGAACGTGATTTGGGTGCCCAGCATTGACATTGCCAAACAGCCTCTGAAGAATGTTTGTCTGCTAGACTGAGGTTTCAATTTAGGAAGGTGGGGCTGTTCAATGAAAGTATTTAAGTGTGTGTGCTTAAATACAGTCCAGAACTGAGGCTGAGGTTAGTGAATAACACGGTAATATTTTACTTTCTGTATCCTTCAAGGGCAAAGGAATAATGCTGTCAGATGCTGACAGTGAGAAAAATAAATGTTTAAGTACACACTGGTAAACAAATATTGCACTTCAGTGCTATACACCCATGTTCATGATCACCAGTCTTACTCAGCTTCCACAAGTAGTGGGACACCACCCACTAGATCAGGGTGCTCAAAACTCCATCCAGCTGGGCCTTGAGCACTTCTAGGGACGGGGCATCCACAGTTTCTTCCTAATATCTAATCTAAACCTATCCTCTTTTAGTTTAAAGTCATTACCCCTTGTCCTGTCACTCCCAGATAAAGTCCCTTATCTGCCCGCTACTCCCACCTCTTTCTCTGCAGGGCTGCTCTCAACTCCACTCATCACCCAGTCTGAACTGATGTTTTGGGATTGCCCCCACTCAGATGCAGGATCCTGCACTTGTGGCTGTAAGCTTTCCCTTTCAGTGGTGGTCTAATCTGCAGAAGTACCAAGTGCAGAGACAAGTCTACTTGTCGTGTGCTAAAATATGAGACAAGACACATACAAAGAAAAATGGAAGACTTTTAAGACTGAATATTAATTCATAGCATAATTCTGAGCCCAGGTTTCAAAGCTGGCTTTTTTTTATTATTATTATTTATTTACTAAAAGCAGCAAGACCACTTACTGAGTTTACAGCAGCTTGAATGATCCCAGGTTTCACTGAGTTTTGACTTTATCTCTCAGGCTTTTTTATCTCGCAAGCTTTCTTTTGAAGAAACTGCCATCCAGGAAGTAAGTTTGTCCCAGATACAGTATTCTTCATTCAAAAATAAATTAAAGTTCACCAAAGCATCTTCAACTAGTGAAAGGATTCTGCTTTGTGTAACTATTAAAATCTCAGAGCTGCGTTGTGAGAGTGAGTGTGTGTGTGTGTGTGTGTGTGTACAGAGTGCCCTCTAATGGCTGCACTGGGCCCATTACGAGCTAGGCAAGGTATGTTAAGATCCAGAATTGTTTTGTTTACTGCAGTATTAGCAGTTTGCATTGATTTATTTTTAAGGAAAAAAAAAATCCAAGGAGATATTAAATTAAAGCATTTCTTCTAACACCTAAGCTTTCCTGTGGCTCCCAGTTGTAACTGGAATATGTTCATTTTCTCACGTCTGAAGGTATAGCTTTTCATTTTTAATGTGTGTAACTTTCTGGTCTTTCTTTTAGAACATCTTGCACAGAATATTTCCAAGTCTCACATGGAAACTTGCCAGTACTTGAGAGAGGAGCTACAGCAGATAACATGGCAGACTTTTCTGCAGGAAGAAATTGAGAACTATCAGAACAAGGTATAAAAGCATGCCAAACAGTGGCATGCTTTTTTAAAGCATGGTATTTCCATAACACACTGCAAAATTCACTTTTTCACTGCTTTCTGTTCACTATCAGGAATATACATTTATGTGTGTTTTCAGGACAAAAATGGAACAAAAAACATGCTAGAATCAAGATGAGCAAGATGGTTGCAATTTGGTTTGTGATTTTGCATTTATGATTTTAACCATAAATACAAGGAAATGTAAATCTCTGGAAATATGTTTGTCTGTAATTGATAAAATTGGATAAGAAACTAGAGAATTTTTTTTCACTCCAACATGGCATGTTATTTACTGTTGTTACACTGTAATCTCCCTAATCATTCCCACTTCCCCTCCTCCCCCAACAACAACAACAACAGCAAACTAGTTTGAAGCACCAGGTTATAACTGTAGAGTCCTTTACAGCTGACCTGTGAAATACTGATCAATACCAGGACATGCATCAGTCTTACTTTGTTTCCATTCCTATCTGGTAATTGAAAACCTGAATAGGAGCCAGTCAAAAAGCCATTGGCTTGTTTGACAGTTTATAATTTTGCATGGTGCGTTTTGTTCTGATATTATAAACTCAGAACTCAGATTTCCTGCCTTTGGTGCCTGGTTGTATCCCTGATTCATTCTACAGTTGTCACAGTGTTTCAGTTTCACCTGTAGAACAGCAGCAGAGCGCTGCCATGCCTCCAGTAGGTACTACACGATTTATTCAGTGCTTGTATTTCCATTATGCCTTCCATCCACGCACTACTGCCAAGTGGCTACTTTTGGAAAACTATCTTGAGAAGCACTATTAAAGCACACTTCTGAATATTTTTTTTCATTTCCACCAAAAAAAAAAAACTTAACCTTTAAGAATATTTTTTCCACTTGTTAGGTACTCTCATTCTGAATTATTATTAACATCTGAGAAGAACACTAATTGCATGCCTTCTTTGTTGTTAACAAGATGATCTTCATATATGTATACTTTATATGTATCCTTATGAAGACCAGCTTGTTAGATAATTTACATTCAGGACAAAAAAGAGAGGTTGATAGGAAAAATGTGATCGTGCACTGCTAGCATAAGTTGGTATTTTCTCTTGATGCAGTAAGTAGAATTACCACTGAAATCACCAGCATCATTATACTTAGATTTTTTTGGCTTATGACATAAAAATATGCAACCTGGATCTCTCTGCCATCACTGAAGAAGTTTTACATGCTTGCATTTTCACTCATCCTCATGAGGCTTTGTCTTTGAGACTAACGGCCCTTTTCTTACAAGCAGACTGTAGCCAGGACTGCTGAAGAGCATTTGCTCTGCTTAGTTTTTGAGCTAAGTCTTATTTTATGAAAATGAGCTTTCCAAACTTTAATTAGTAACTTTTCAATTTTTCTTCTCTCTCAAACAGCAAAGGGAGGTAATGTGGCAATTATGCGCAGTCAAAATAACAGAAGCTATACAGTATGTAGTGGAATTTGCCAAACGCATTGATGGCTTTATGGAGCTGTGTCAAAATGATCAAATTGTGCTTTTAAAAGCAGGTATGTGGGTGAATTTTAAGGTCTACTTCTATTAGTTTTGACTGAGGACAGTGCTACCTATATAGAGTGATTATGTATATATATAAATATATATACATATGTTGAATGGTGGTTTAAAATAATAAAATAAAGAAACCTCTATGTCTTTGTTTGAAGTAATATGCTTTCTTAGTTTCTCTGGATGCAACACGTTCCACCTAATGGAAAGTGTCCATGCTCGTGGCAGGGAGGCTGGAACTTGATGATCTTTATGATCTCTTCCACCTCAGACCATTCTGTGATTCTATGATAAGTTCAAGTCTGCATATGAAATTTTCATTGTGAACTACAGGAGCAATTAAGTGTGAAAGAATGAAAACATTGGATTCAGGTTTTCTTTATTAGGCGTATGAATAGTGAATAATATATTTCAAGTTAAAGTCCAGATTGTTCTATGCAAGATACTGTAGAAGGAATGCAGTTTACAAATACTGAACAAAGCTGTCAGAGTTTCATGAGTAAAGATCTAAATGAACTGCTTTGACTTCAGAGACTTCATTATCCTAATAAAAATATTTATTAGCATTAACTAAGTTACTTTAGCAAAAACTTGTAAAGGAGTTTATGGGAAATAATTACACTATAAAATCAAATTATTCTTTGTTATACCACAGAAACCTTGTGCCCTAGTCAGTCTATGCTGAAGGCAGAGCACTAGGGAACTTTTATCTCACTTCTTGCAACTGAAGTCTCTCTACTTAAATAGTCAAACATACATTGTTTCTGTTTTAGGGTCTTTAGAGGTTGTGTTCATCAGAATGTGCCGTGCCTTTGACTCCCAGAACAACACAGTCTACTTTGATGGCAAGTATGCTAGCCCAGAGGTTTTCAAGTCCTTAGGTAAGGAAATTACCAAGTGTTGTACTTTAAAACCACACAAAGAAATGATAAGGTAGAAAAGCATGAGGACAGCTGCCTTGAAAAAAATAGAGACTGTAGTATTCAAATAAAAAAAACAGTTAAAAAGTTCAAACTGAATATTCTGTAAATAACTCTGCCAACTGTGTTTGAGGCCAAGCTGATTTCAGGAGTTACAACACCTTAGCTCCTTGCAATGCAGGACTATTGGTATTGAAATCCAGCACTTTCCTTACTTAGGTCAGGGTAGAGCAGCTTGGAGATGCTCGTAAACAACAGAAGCCCAGATGTCTTAACTCATGTAAAGCTTGATGTATCCAGTTGAAAAGGAAGAGAAACTTTAAACTTAATTTCAGATATACTGACAGTACTGCTCTGAATATGCAAAATCTAGTTATTTGCAGGTAAAATACTGAAATACTCTTAATTCTTTTTCTTTTTTAATTAAACCATTGTTTACCTTTTTATTTCTTCTTTTCTGCATACTTAAGCTAATTTTAAAAGGAAGAATTTAATTGGGTATGGATTTGGTATGTAAGCCATTCTGGAGGGTAGTGAAAAATGACAGTAGCAATATGGCAGTGAAGAAAGCCATACAATTACTGAAGTACTCTCTGCCTTTTCAAAACACCTCAAAATATTTGACTAGAAAGAGTATTAAAATAGAATTGTTTCTACTCAGAAACAATTCAGAGAATGCAGTATCAGATATGGGCTTCTATCTGCTAGTAGTTGCAATGACACCTAACTTTCAGCTGCTACTGAGTACACTCAGAAATTTAAGCTGAGCTGGGGGCTGAGATCTGCAGAGGAGAACCCTATTCCAACAGAGGTTGCAATCCTTTCAAAGCAAGGCACAGCTTTTGTATAATGGATAACAGCATGTGTAACAGCAGCAGTAACCTGACTTACACCTGTGTGAGCAAGAGAATGGATGAAAGGAGGCACAGTTCTTCTTCTGCATGAAAAACTTTCAGACCTTCGCTTCTCCTTTTGCTCCTGCATGTACCTTGTATGCTTCTTCCCCTTCCCTCTTCCGTGTGCTCAGTATTCATAAAATCGGCATTTTTCAAGTATACATTTCAAACATCCAGTCCACAGTAACATGAGAAAGTTTCATGGAGAAAGGCAACAAAGCCAAAAAGTGTTGAGCTTGAAAATGGCTTGGTTTTCATCTATATTTACCCCAAAAGCACAGAAAAGATGCAATGCACAAAACCTTCAAAGTACTGGGTACCAGGATGTGATAGCTGGGGACCTGTGGGAATGGGATGAAGTTCAAGCATAACTGAGATCTCATCAGTCCTCAAGGGGAAAAGCATTTACCTATCAAGTATTTTACATCCATTTTTCACCTAAATCAGCAACTGTGTAGTTTTGAAGTAATTTCAAACAGTTTGGCATGAGCTGTACCTTCTTTTTGGCAGGTTGTGAAGACTTCATTAGTTTTGTGTTTGAATTTGGAAAAAGTTTATGTTCTATGCACCTGACAGAAGATGAGATAGCTTTGTTTTCTGCATTTGTTTTAATGTCAGCAGGTAAGAGACAGAGTATTTATTCTAGGTTTCTATGGCAGAGTTCACTTTTATTTTAATGTATTCTTAAGTAGTACTGCTATCACACACTGTGAAATGTCCATCTCTTTTTGGTCCAGTGCCAGCTCAGAGCTGTTAAGCAGGGTTGCTGTTTTAGCAAGGAACAAATGTATGGAGGTGGTTGCATACCCTGGCAGCTCAGGTTTCTGTCACCTTTGTGAAACCAGGTATGGGAATGATGGCGCCAGACATACAAGAGTCAGCCTGGGTCTGCTATAGCCATGAATAAAGTAGCTTCATCTCAAACAGATTCACACTGTACTCCAGGTACTGGGAAGGCTTATCAGGTTGGGCGAAACAAGATATTAGTGCAGAAATTCCGTTTGTGTCTGACATAATAGCCAAGGAAAAATATAGTTTTAAACCATCATAGGAATAAATGCTGGAGGAATCTGTTACAACGGAGTTTTACTACATCATAAATACATTCTCATGCTGGTTGCCATGCTGGAAATATGTTTGCCTTGTCTCTTAGTATTTAAGCCACAGAATCCCTTAGTTCTGCCACAGATGTAGTACCTAATACTCCTTTTCTGCTAGAAGTTTAGGAGCACTTTTTTAATAGCTGAATATTTGTTCTGATTTTTTTGTATGCCACTGTAAATCTTAGTAAGAAGATCCATACCAACTACTTGTTCAGTATGTGATCCATGCATTTCTCACTAAAAGGGGGCTAGCTTCATTTTGTAAATATCTTGCATTTTAAAGAACTTATTAGCAAATAATTAATGAATCTTACTCAGATATGCTGCAATCTTCTTATTGAGGGTTTCATAAAAGTAATTTTAAATGCAAGTAATAAATGTGTCCAAAAGCTATTAATTTTGAAACTCATTTCCTATGTAAAACTGTTGAAGTGGAAGGAAGGTTGCAAATAGGAAAAATGAACAGACTATTTCCTGATGCATCGTGACTGATGTATGCACTACTAGAGGTGTTAACTTCATTTGTATTTAGATCGTTCATGGCTTCAGGAGAAGGTAAAAATTGAAAAACTCCAACAGAAGATCCAGCTAGCACTTCAGCATGTCCTACAGAAGAACCACCGAGAAGATGGAATTCTAACAAAGGTACAAATCATATTGAGCCATGTCATGTGACTGTGAAAGCACACTTTCTTATGAATAGTGTAAAAGCTTCTGTGCAGTATTTTTTTAATTTATAAGCCCAGAATTCTTTGTTCACAATCAAGGTACTTAGCTGAAATCATTTGCTAAAAACAGGAAAGGGAGAAAGAATGATGTACTACGAATATGGCTGATAAAGGTCTGAAAATGTTTTTCATGTTGAACTAAATGAAAAGCCATCAAGGTTTTTATCTTGTTTCTCTTAATAACACCTCTGCCACGCAGAGCACTATTTCTACTACATGTAAGATTAAATCTTACGAAACCTGTGTCTACATGACAACTAGCTTGTGATGGCACACAGCACCCAAACTAACCTTGTTTCTCAGTACGTCATGAGAAGTTCTGCACAAGCCTTTTTCTCAGCACTTCTTCTAACTATTGGTGGCTAGGGAAGAGAAAAAAGATACTACATATTATTATGGTAATCTCAAGTGTCTTCAATTAGGTGTTCAAAATGCAGAGGCAGTGTGAAGGCACTTCCTTACAGATGTAGTTCCCTTTAGAACTCCATACAGCAGGGAAGGTCATGCTTAGTTTCACAACGCAGAATTAATTACACTTAGACTAACTACAACTAGGAGCAGGATAGTACAGCCCAGTATGAAGATCTGGGCTTTCCAGATTGTCCTCATTTCATAGCTTGTATAATTGTTTTCCCAGCATATGTATTGGATTCCTTTGCTAGAAGGAGATTTCTTCCAGGTGCTTTGATACAAATATGTACTCACTAAGTTGAATGAGCACCCTAGTCCTATTTTTTCAAGGACAGATTGTTCTGATCTGTTTAATACAATTTCATCTTTTACCTTTTTTGGCATAAGTGGAAGTAGCCTAATCCATTGTATTGCAAGTTCCCTCCATAATATAGCATATTTAAGAATAATCAAGCACACCTTCTTCCAAGAGAATTACTAAGTTGCATGAGTAAAGATTCAGCCATGAAATAGTTCCACATCGATCTGGAGCTTGTGATGTGGCTTACATAGGTAGGCAAGTGATACATTTTCTTAGACACCCAAAGAAAAAGTTATTTCACAGATAGCATTAATGCATTACTCAGTAAGTTTTTACTGGCTTCTTTATTTGTTTTTGTTTTTAATATACGAAACTTAACACATCTGATATGTCACTGCTAAAGCAAACAACTGAAGTGTGCTCAAATTGTTTGAGAGTTCTAATCCTGAGCTCAAGACTGGGAGGCCTTGTTCCATATATGACTGTGTGACTTCTGTTCATTTTTTTACAGTTAATATGCAAAGTGTCTACTTTAAGAGCACTGTGTGGACGACATACAGAAAAGCTTATCGCATTTAAAGCAATATACCCAGACATTGTACGACTTCATTTTCCTCCACTTTACAAGGAGCTGTTCACTTCAGAATTTGAGCCAGCAATGCAAATTGATGGGTAAACGTATCACCTAAGCACTTCTAGAATGTCTGAAGTACAAACATTAAAACAAAAGAAAGGAAAAGATTAAAAAAAAAAAAGAGAAAAAAAAAGTAAAGAAAACCAAGACACTTTATATGGCCCTGCACAGACCTAGGGAGCCAACACACTGCACATCTCTTGGCGGTCCGGGTCAGGCGAAGGATGGGAAACAATGAAACAAAGTTGAACTTGTTTTTCTCATGCATATGATTTCCATTTTGCCTACAAATATGGACCCTTTTTCTGTCTCAACTTCTCAATCCTTGACCTCTGTTTACACAGACTGAGGGTACTAGTATCAGAAGGTTGCTTTCTCTCGTAGTTCACTGCCCAGACTTCTGACAGAACAATCAATTTGTTGATCAGAACCAGAGAGTCCACCTAGTAATCAGCGACTGGTGTGCATTGCAGAGATTTAAGCATCAGTTTGCACAACTTGCTCATTGTTTCATGAAGGACGATTTTTTTCACCTACCACTGTTTGCCAGTAGACAGAACGGCATGAAAAGGGTCCATAGCAATAGCAACAATAGCATTATAATATATTACAGGGTAAATGGGCATGAAGACTATATATAGCAAAAGAGATATTGTTTATATATTGTTTTAATTAATATAAAATGTAGTTACTGGTATAGCTTTTCTTGTTGAATTGATAAGGCACTTTCATTTTGCACCTTTTTCTTTAAATTAAATGCTAGCGTGTTCATTGTTGTGTTGCATGTGCACCAGAAATTCAAGTTTAACTGAAAAAGGTTTTTGGCAGGTACTGGTACATTGGGAGGTATTTATGCTGCTGTTTTCCGTGTTACTTTTAAGGAGAGGCTGGTCATATCCTGAAATGGTTACACAGATTTAAAAAAAAAAAAGGAAAAAAGGAAATTTTCTAAATTAAAATCAGATGTTCAACTGTTCATTTAGCAAGTATTTTTCATTTCAAATCTTTCAAATCTGGATGTTTAAAATTACACACCTAGATTCTGATTTAGGCACAGCAAAAGCCTCATTTTCAAAGGTGCTGAGTTTCTGTGATTAAATTAAGCAATTACAGATCACTTACAGATAGAATAATGTGTCATCCTTGAAAATCAAGCCAGTAAAGTGTACATCTACCCACCATAAATCCAGATTTGAAGGTATTTACTCACGTCTGTATCTGCAGTAAAAGTATGTGTGTGACATGTATGTGGAAAGCCAATTTTTATACATAATGTTACATACTTTTGTACTCTGTATTGTAAACAATGCATTCAAAACTCCAAACTCTATCCTATCAAAATTCATAGGTTTAATTTTGTTTTAAGTGAGATTAGAACCCATGTTCTTCAAACATCCAGCAGTTCTATTTAAAGTAGCTGAATGGAGTGCTGACCATTGCTCTCATTATTTACATACATGCACTTTAAAGTTTAACAGATGAGGAAAGACTAATAGAAAGTACCAACTGTCTCTGAGTAAATTTAGCAGGATTAGAAATTAAACCAAGTTCTGAAGGGAACAGATCCACAGTGAACAATATCACAAAATAAACTGTGACTGTTTGAGCCAGAGGTCTGTAATTGCTTTGGATGAGATGAGGAAATACAACCAGGAGGCTTGTAGGCCTGCGTGCCTGCAACTTTCTGATGAAATACGTTGCAAGGGGGAAAAAAAAGAATGTGCTCCACTGCTTTAATTTCCAAAAATAATAAATCTGTTACATTAGTCACTGAGAAGTAACGCTGAATTGAAGAACAGAAGCACACTGAAGAGAGGTAGAACTAGGCTAGTAGTCTAAAACAGAAAGTTTTATTCTATGATTTGGAAATTTTACCTTTGGGATCAAATTGAGCCACAGAAGCACAAGATCTATTAGTGTTTCATCATAGCGCTTGGCTCTCATCCGTTTATATGGTTCAAAATTGAGGAAATGAACATGGCATCTCTGCCCTTCAAAGCAGTGTAGCCCTGGAGAACGGCACAGGAACACCTGCACCTCCGTGAGTACCTGGATGGAGGCACGAGGGGGCTTGAGGAAGCCAGCCTCATGCTGCTCCATCCTGCTGCTCCAAGGAGGCAGCTCACAGCCCCGCACACTGACTGCATTCTCGCTGATAGACTTTTCCTAGAATCATTGTTTACTTTATTGGAGTAGCTGGCATGATACGGTACTTTGATTCCAATATGTGCTCCTATTTTTAAAGCAGTCTTTTTAACAAACAGACGTTTTCGGAATATGACCAGCCCTAGGTGCTAGTCCTTTAAAGATCAACTAAACTTAATTTCAGTGTCAACTAATGAATAATGAGGTAAGATTTGTACTTTTTTAGAGAGAAAGATACAGCTCCTACTTTTGACAATAAGTAGACTACCACGCAAAATACTTTGGGATTAATTTTCAGTCACATCCTTTACTTATCTATTCCTGATTAATATTACTACTTTAACAAGCCTGTAGATACCAGTGGTTTTGTTTGGTATCTAATTCAGAGTATTTACACCCTTAAGTCATTGACAACACAGAATTTTGGAGTATTTAATAATAAAATACATAAGTGTAGAAAGGTTCCACATGGGGCCTTAGTTGAAAGCCTGTTGTATCCAGGATTGGCTTGTGACATGATCTTCCATTCCAGGCTGTGCAGCACCTACGTGCTGTCATTTTTGTCAAGGGGAGCCCCTGTGGACAACTAGCACCTTTTAAAATCAGGCTGTGTGTACATACCCCAGTAAGTCTGCCTTCCTGAACACAGCTAGCAGCCACTTGGCAAGAGACTATTACTCGTTTCGTTTTGCTTGACATAAAGAGGGGAAAAGGGGATACAGCATGGCAGACATACTGAAAAGACTGCGGTTGCCTATGAGGCAAAGGGGATGTCAAATAGCCTCAGAGTGGCTGGTCAGAATGGCTGCCATGGAAGAACCTGGTGCAGCAGTGGAAATGCACTCTGCAGAACCTCTGCGACTATGGCCTGGTGTCAGACAATCAACACAATATTCAGTTTAAAAAAGCATATTGGAAGTAAGTGGATTCACACAAGTATTTTCACGATCTGTCCAGCTGACAACAAACAAAAACGTGAGGACAGCTGAAGACAAAGTAGTACATTGCTACTGAATGATTGTACGCTAGAGTCTGCGAAGAGATTTTCATTGGGTTTTCATCTTTCCACAGAGATGTTCCTGGGCTTTCTAGAAAAGAGGTAGTACAGTATACTGGCATTTGAACTACCTTAATACACCTCAACATCTCTAACACTGATTGACTCTTAAAAACGATGGGATTAGGAGAAAAGGGAGGCTGTTCTTAAGTTTGGTTGCTCTTTATTAAAGCTTGTCTATCTTAGTATGGATACCAAGATCTCTGTGTGTGTATGTGCACCTACCTGTGTGTGTGAGAGAGTAGCGTTGTGTGCGCACATGATGTATGTGTGGGTGTGTGTGAGTGGCTGCTTCTAGGCTGGTAAGTGTCAGTGGAGAAAAAGAAAATGTATTCAAAATACTTAAGTCAAAAATAGAAGGTGAAAAAAAGATTTATTCTATACAAAGCCTTGTCTGGACCACTTTAGAGAGACTTCTATTTTTTTAACCCTTCTATAAATATTTGATGGCACTTGAAATATTCCTGCAATAAAATGTGATTTGTGTAAACATTAAAAAAAAAAAAAAAGATTTTGTAATGTGAAACAATGAAAGAAAGTAATGTAATTTTTCTAAAAAACAGAAAAAAAAAACAAATGAACGAACTTTGTATTATTTTCTTGATGGAATTTGTCTATTTGTCTTTGGAAAACTTTTTATTTCATTGAATGTGCCATAGTAGAGGTGTGTGTTTCTTTTTCTTTTCTTCTCTTTTCTTTTTTTTTTCATTTTTTACATTGTAGATTTAAGGAATAGCTGTGTTCCGACATTCCAAAATGCAAGATGACATAGCAGTCATGATTAAAAGGTTTGATTAGTAAGCTTCAATC